GATTTTTCTATATGGAGAAAGCGACAAAGTTGTTGTTGTCGGATTTTTAACGATTAATTTCTTATTGTTATAAAATTCCAAATTATCACTTAAATCTTCATTTAAATCTTTAATTTTTCTTTGTGCTGATGACGAGAAATGGAATTTCGAGGGTTTCGTAGTTTCGAAAAAAGATGTGAAGAAAAAATTATTTGCATTGATGTCAGCAGCTTCTAATGATGTTGCTGAATCGATCATTAATGGAAATCCATCATCATTGCTATTTGATGCATTCCTATCCTTTTGAGAAGATAAACTTATAGAATCAATGTCAAGAGCAAAATTCTTGCAGTACTTTTTCATTGCTTCTTGGTTCATTTTAGTGTTGGGGAAAATAATTAGATGAAAATAAAGAGTGCTGTGTAGGATCCTATGCCTTTTGTTTATAGTGGTAAAGACATATAACAACTAAATATATTAATATAATTTTTGAGTTTCAATTTTCCTTTATAATTTTTTACTTAGAAGCAATCATTATCCGATTTGAAAGATGAAGAAAACAGTCTAGATTATATAATTTCTTTTTTTTACCCTTTATCTTACTTTTATCGTTATGGAATGCTTTTTGTGTAATTGTACAAAATAAGAACATTTAATACATTGTATAAAAATAGAATTCATTCATTCATCCATTTTAGTCTGAGATAAAAAAAATTTTTATAAGAATTTTTAATTTTCGCTGTTATTTCTTATATTAGTAAACAGAAGAATTTAATGCTATTTTTTCATTAAGATTTTTTCTTGATTGTTTATGTAAATTACAAGGAAATTTTTGAACTGTGCAACATATCGATATGTTTAACAAAAAAATCGCTACTTTTAAACAATTGAATTGGTAACACGAGTAAATATCGATATCGTTTATATGTACGTATAAGTGCGTTATAAAAATTGCAGATGTTCAGTCGGACATTCTATAAAAGAACAACCTCCTTCAAAAAACATTTTTTATAGAACCGATAATTATACTTCTACAATCGAATTACCTCCCAATTGTGTTCTTTTGTAAAGGTTCGACTGCATAAAATAA